GAAACCATCCATGTTTATGAAGAAAATTTCTATTCTAAGGCTCTACCTATACCCTATGTCATATGGTCTTCAAACAACCCCAAGCAAGCCAAGCAATCTTCACCAAGCTTTGATTTTGATCTTCAACTTTGTCTTTATTAGGCTCCACCATCATGCTCTTCAAACCAAGCCAACACTCCAAGCAAATGCCCAAAAAGCCCACACAACCAAATAAACCCCAAAAAATGGGCAAGCCAAACAAGCACACAACTGTAAAATATACTACAAATAGTAATATAATATTTACAAGCCTAATATTAATTCTAAGGGAAGTACCATATCTACCCTATATACCCCATAGGTCTCATGCTCTAATTCAATCTAAAAAACCCACAAATAAAATGTTCAAGTGCACCTATGTTGTGTATAAACCCTAATCTAACCATCCTAATATCATCTAATCAAAACTAATCAAAACCCAATTATAAAATCATGGAATAAATCCAGGGGGGAGCTCAAGTTTATATCTAATTACTCTAAAAAGAACAGCACTAAAATGTAAAGGGAGCTAACTAAACAAAAATCTACAAAATTATGTACCAACTATATTCAATAAAAAAAACAACTAAATGTAAAATATTCACAAAAAATATAAAAAATACCTAAAATAATATTTTTATTTATTCACAATTTTCTTGAAACCATTTTCAATATGTTGCAAAAATTCCCATGTCAAAATATTTCTTTTTTCAATTTTTTATGATTTTCCAAAATTGTAAAATAAAATGAACAAAAATGAATTTAAAAAGAGAAAATACTGGTGCAGATAGCAAGAAATTAAAACATGAGAACTAGCTGGGCCCAACTGGGGGGTGCGCGTATCAAAGCGCCTTGGGCCCAAACATATCAGAAAAAATGAAAAAGAAAATCAAAGAAAAAAAGAAAATAAAACGGTGTAAATAGCAGTCAATACGCGTTCATTCCTAGTGGGCCTCTCAGATAGGGGTGTGCATAACAAAATCCACTTAAGCCCACCAGCATCAACTAAATGAAACGACTGAGTTTCATGCTCAACTTAATTCCTTCACAAACCGAGAATAAATCTCATCCACACGATCCATGCTTTGGTCAAAAGTCAGCGCACATCTAATGGCTGAGTTGTTATCTTCCTCATTTGAATCAAATTGGAGCCAAAACTCCATTGATGGACCTCCAAGAATACTCAGAATGCAGCCAATCGAACATCACCAATTCTTGATCAAAAATCGTAAAATAAAACCCTAACATGCTCTATTCTTCACCCTGATTCCATCTATGGCCTTGAATTCAATTGATATCATCTCTAACAGCAAACACGATTCCATCTCCAAAATTAATCAGAAAATCAATCATCACCAATCCTCAAATTAAGTGTCTCAATCTCTCCCTTGTTCCATACTGATCAATTCTAACTATAAACCTAAGGCTATAACTCCATATCCACCGAGTTCTAGGTCCAAACAGAATTCTTGTCAACCTAAGAATTGTCACTAAATCGAGCCAAACCTTCCAGAAAGCATCACCTAGCCACATAATATGCTTCTAACCTAAAGATTCATGCTGATTCTATCTAATTCAAGCCATGGTGAGAAAGTTACTAACCTGTGAAATTGATGAAAACAGATGATGAAATGCTTCGATCCACTGCTTGCAAAGCTCCAGAATCACTCAATGCCTTGATATCTTGCTTCTGTATGCACTAATTCTTGCTCAAACAGCTTGCATCAATGAAACAGAATTTCAGTTGCAGATGAAGAAATGAAACTTCAAGAACACGATCCAGCCAATGATTCACTCTGATTTTGATTGCAATACACTCAGTGATGATTATTGAATTGAATTGAATCAAAAATTTGAAAGAATGGTGAAGAATTTTGAGAAAACGAAATTGACTTGCAATGGAAGAAGATGAATTTCAATTTCTGAGTTTTGGCACTAAATGAATCCCAACCTTGATCTTGATCAACTCTAATGGTTATATAGGTGATGTTAGAAACTTCTAGAGAGTGCTGGAATGATCCTATGAGAAAATGATAATCTCATGTCATGAGATGTTGAAAATGGCCAATGCAAAAACCAGTCCCATCTTGCTCTGTTACAGCATCTCAAAATAGCTTGAATTTCTCCTCTAATGAGAATTAGAAGGTGTAGGAATGCTTACTTGCCTTGTACCTTGATCCTTATGTGATTTGGCAAGTGTAACTTCCTTTGTAAGCAACTCATGACAAGCCCAATCTCTTGGCCTCAAATTCAAAATCCAATGATGTAAATGATCTCAAAATATGTTTTCCCTTCAATTTGGTATATCACATGATGCATTTTAGCCTTGGATCAAAAAATCCCAAATTTGGTCACTTGAAAATGGACTTTTACCTTCCATATTTGGTCAATTTTGTCATTTTGAGTTCCATGCATTTCCACATCATCATGACCTCTTTCATAGACTCAAAACATCATTTTGAGCAAGTTTGATGTTGAACATTTTTCCATTTGAAGCTTGCAAGTAGGAGTTTTAGGCATATGCTTGAAATGACCTATAATCTTACTTTCCCAAAATACCCCTGGCTTGTCAAGATCATAAGTAGAGTTCCATAAATCAGATTGAGGCATACCATACCTTTCTAGAAAGATAAGGTCATGAGGAACAACTTTCATGTTGGCCAAAAATCCATTTGAAAACTCCTTATGGGGTAAAAGTTGCTTGGAAGTCAAGTAACTTTCACAGATAAACTTCAGTGTCCTCAGATGACCTGTAACTTGCAAGAACCATAACTTGAGTTCTATAAACCTCCTTGATGCCTTCCACCACTCAAATTAAAGGTCTTGAGATTCTCTACAAGTTTCATGGGTTCCAAGGATCCATTTGAGACTTGCATTTTAAATTATTTTGCTTGGAAGTTTGACCTAAACCAGGGGATTTTACTCAGAAACCCTAATTTAGAAACTTCTCTTCTTCTTGATTTCTTTTGATTTCTCCTTGGCACAACACCACATCCATATCCACATATCAAATGATGAATCCCACATCCTTCAAATAGGCCTTGATGCCCTTCAATCAAGCATTAGACCTAGGGTTGACCCAGATGAAACCCTAGTTGACTGTCTTCAACTGTAGCTCTTATAACCACACCAATAACTTGTCTTACTTTCAAAATGACCCTCTAGGTCTTCCATGATGTCTACACACATTCCATGCCTCAGTCCACAGCTCACAACCTCTATGATGATCTTCAAATACTCCCCAAACAGGCTATAAATCCACTGCTTGATCTATTAACTTCTTAGAGCTTTACCTCCTTTCTTGGTGACTTGAATAGGCTTGAATCTTGATAAAAACCTTTTGGATATGCTTCTTGAGATGAAAATAGCACTTGATCCCTTGTTGGATGGCTTGCCCATGCTATGCTATGCAAAGGAATGAACTATGTATATGATCTACTATGCAAATGATAAAGCTATGAAAACACAAATCAGATAAAACAAGTTGGTCAAATTTCAGGGTGCAACAATTACGAACCCTTAACTGCAGGTCTTAACATCCTTTTAGACCTTGGGGAAAAAGGAGTCGATATTAGAGGCGATTTAGAGTTACTTTTGAAAGATTTAGAATAAGATCCGAACTTGGTTTGGTTGCAACGTCCATTTTCTTTTTCCTTTATGGTTTTTATCGACATTTTCTCTTTCGTTTTGGAATAAATAAATTTTGGTGGAAACTTTGTTGTTATTTCAAGCGTTTCGTTACGTCCTGGTATTTTTCGCGCCACGACACTTAGTATATTCTTGAGTTCAAAGATTACATAACCTAGAGACCCACTAATCATGGTTTAGGGGAATCTCAGGAACATATCCACAAGATTTGGATAATTCTCTCTTCAAAACATATTCAGAATCTCGAATAGGTTTGCACTGATTTGGCATATTCGATAGGAGCAGTTAGAAGACTTACAGATGTTTTTTGGCAAAATCAATGAGGAGATTTAAGGGCAGTTCTCAACATGAATAACAGTTTGCAGTATTTTAAGGACCAAGGATATGTGGAAGCGAAACAAAGGATGAAGGCCCACGTAATAGTGTATGCGTTGAGTGCTGGAGAGCTGGTCGTGATCGATAGTTACTAAAGTTTAATATATAAGTTGAGTTCATTCATGTAATAAGGATTCACAATTTTCATTGTTATTCTCTATAGAATTCACACATCTAAGTTACAGAGATAAAAGTTTATGAGAAATATATGAATCTGTGTCCCACCTTTATTTTAAACTGAAACATCAAACCTTCAAGCAAACACATATTTTTTCAAACATTTTTTACAAATTTTCCATAAGATTTTTTCGAGTATAATCCCTTAAGTGAACAAAAATTTGTGATTTGATTTACCAAAAACACTTGTAAACAAAAAGTACTTGCAATTGTGATTAAATGTAATATAATTACTCTCGTAATGGAGTACGTGAATATGTAATTACTATTTTATAGACATATGTGAATATTCTATATATAACCTTTATTTTGAAAACTAACTAAAAAATAAATACAATTTGTGACAAAGTTTTCATCTCAGCCAACGAACAACCGAGATGTAAGTCGTAGCTGTATTTAAGTGTTTATTTTTTTAATTTTTGTTTATGACCTATTCTCTCGGTTATGCTAATAACAGAAAGGAAAAGAAATTACTATTCTTTATTCTCTCAACATTGCTATTTCAAATCCTAAAAAATACTACATCCTTTACCATTTATTCTCTAATCTTATTTATTACTATTATAATTTGTATCTAATTGAAAAGTTTAATTCTTCATTGCATGCATTGTATTGTACAACAAATGTCAAATAGACAACGCCCGATCAAGAAAAACAAAAACAGAATAGTAACAACATGCATATGCTTAAGTTGGTATGTAACAGTTTCTGTTCTTTGAATTATATCAGGTTTAAGTAACTACGTACAAAGAATGAAAAAATAAAAAATATAAATAAATGCATTAATTGATGTCTGAGAATATTTTGCTGGCAAATTCATCCATGTCACCAACACCTTCCATTCTATAAGAAGCTGATTTCGATGCAAGTTCCCTCAGATTTGATGTACTTCTTCCCAACTTCAAAGCCATCTTCATTTCAAACAACTCTCCATTTTCTCTTTTCTCTAAATCTTTCTCACTCAAAGTTGATTCTATTGAGGTTTCTAACAAGTTGAAGAAACCAGCAGAGCCTCTATACATTTCAAAAACCATCCCAACTTGGCCACCATGTTCGAAAGTATTAATTGCAGAAGCCAGTGAACCAGCCAAGAGAGGAACAAAAGCAGCCACAGGACTACCATTACCTATAAAAGTAGATCCAATAGCTGCAATTCCTGTGAGGAATGGTCCTGCAATTGCCAAACTCTTGTTTACCTTCAATGCTATGTTTCCAAGTCTGTCATAATCTTCGGCATCTTTTCTCTTTATCACTTCAACAACTTCCCTCATTTCCAGTTCTAGTTCTTCACTCCATCCATTATTCATTTTTCCCATTTTCTTGCTTTGTGAGTTTCCTTTTTTGGAAGGCCACCAAACTGCAGGCTCAAATTTTGCAGGGAACTTTTCAAGCATTGCTCCTAATAGTGGAAGTGGAAAAGCTTTGTCAAGTGCCAAAACCTTCTCCATTGCACTCTTCACATCCTCCTCAGAAAGATTTCCAACAGCAATTGTAGTTTGGATTTGTGTCTGAAGTTGTTCGAACAGTCTTGTAGCATTCCTTTGCTCCTCTGTGAGTTGAGAGGGTTGGATTTTGTTCATGATAAGCAATAATCCAGTTGCAGTAGAAAAAAGAAGAGCAGAAGATAGTTTCATAGCCAAAAGTGGCGCACCTTCCCCACTTGCTACAGCAGCAACACCAGACATGGTTGTAGCAGCTAAAGTAATCATGTTGATTGAGTTTAAGAGAAGGCTGTTCCAGTTGTTACGTTGCTCACCAATGTTTTGATGCATTTCAACTCTGTCGGATACAGCTTCTAACACTGCATAGAGTTGAATTGTATCATTAGAATTCGTAGAATTCTCTTGTTGTGGATCATGTAATATTTTTGTGTTGTTTTTGTTGTTGTTTTCTAGTATTAATTGTTGATGATTAAGTTGTTGTTTTCTGCTGGTTTGTATCTTTGTTGGTGGCAATGAAATATTTGGTAGTTTGGGAAGATGGATAGCTGCATTAATAACTCTTTTTGAGGATGATAAAGAACAACAAGTTATAACTGAAGTTTGTAATATTGAAGCCATAAAATATATGGATTATAATTCTAAGGTAATTCTTGGTAACGTGTAAATAGTTAGTTGATAGAGAAAAGGAAATAGTTTATTTGTAATGTTTGAAATGAATGTTTATATGTGTAAGGTGGTATCAATTTTGAATATTTATATAGCAATGAACCAATAGAACGGGTAGGAAAGAGTCAAATTCAATTGAAGGAAACCCTGGTTGACATATTCTCTGTTCAAAATTTAAAGCATTAGCTTGTGCTATGTTGGGTCTTAAATCTCAACATGCGACTTAGTAAAAAAGTTAAAACCATGATATCATGTCTGCATAACACTGTTAATTAGCCTACAGCAAAGAGTATGTACTTTTTCAATTCATTCACTGATTTTTACTTTATTTTTTTAATTTTTGTTACACAGTTGGAATCTATTTATTCACTAATTTTTATTTTTTTTATTTTTGAGATGCTGTTGGAATTATAAAGGATTAGGAAATGCTATATCTCGATTGAAAATATATGTTACAAACGATAAATCTGTCAGATAAAGTTCTGAAATCCATCAGAAATAGAAAATAAATTCTTGAATTTTATTCTGATAAAAGATAATCTTAACGGTCACACACAAAGGTGTTAAAATACATAAAAAGAAATTCAAATGTACTTTTAATCTAAACCAAAAAAAAAAAAATAGAAAAAGAAACCACTAATCCAAACAAAATTAAAAAATAAAAAATTGTGCAAAATATTAAAATATTGTATTTGGCTTTCATAAATCAATCTCCTTCACCTCTAAAGAAATTGAACCTGAATTCTCTACTTGATAAAATACCCTATCTGCTTGATACACACTAAGGTCAACAACATTGAAAGTATTGGATGTATTCATGGAATATGGGAGAGCTACCACATAAGTATTATCGTTGATATTTCGTGTCACTTTGAACAGGTCATACTTGCGTGGCTACATCATACTGTAAGTACTAGCTGGAAATTTCTTCTTACACAGAAACACCATCACATCATCTCCCATATTGAAAACATTAACTTTTTTGCGTTTATCACGCATAGGTGACAAATCTTTTGGTAGTTCATCTGCGATCAACTCCTTGATATCGTCTAGGATCAATAATAGTTCTTTTGGAACTATTGTTTCTTCCTTTTCTGCACTCATCAGCCCTTTAATCACCACTAGAAAGCGAATTCAGTTTCTTTAACAACTTCATCAAGCTCTTTTTCACTATGCATCATCATCAAGAAGCTAGACTTATTTCCTCTTGGATTTTTAAAAAAATGAAAAACAAGAGCCATATAAATTTTACGTGTGCCCCATGTAAGCATCATCATGTTATCTTGTCCTCGATATGTGATATCATTATCGAACTATCAATGCATGTCATATCAAAAACATCACAAAGTACCTCTCCTCTGTAATGTTTTCGGGTGGAGATAGAAACTATGAAGGTTAGTGTTACACGAACTTGGGAGTCTTGCTTACCCAACCGAGAGTGTATGTCTTCTCATGGGATTTTATAGACAACTTCAAATAATATAAGAATTTATGTAACACTAGATTCCACATGTCGTCACTATCCACAATCAAATTACTCACCTTGTTCTTGGTAGAACAATGTGTTTTAAACAAATTCTTACGCTGCCCTTTGTTTACCGTAAAAATTGATAAACAACCGTTGGTCTTTCAAAAATGGTTTACTTGCAGGATCTACCAGTGAATCCTTAGAACATATATAGCTATTGTTAAAATAATTTATGAAAATGTCAAAAACAATTTGACAGTGCTCATGTTTGTGAAAGATTGTTTAAAAGTTTTGAAAAGATAAACTCGCAAAATTGTAAAGTTACAATAAAGACAAACTTCAAAGTAAAAGTGCAGTAAAGAAATAAATGCTAAATTGGAATTAAATTTCTATTGAAATAAATGTGGTGTTTCAAAAGTATATTTCTCAATGAAAACTCTTCTCTCACTTGACTTAGATACTTTGAGTGATTTTTTGAGTATTTATACAATAATAAACACACGAAATCCTAAACATTAAGACTCATATTTATAATATGTCGACTTCAACGGATATTCCTCCAAAAATTGACACGTTTTGCTCTGCATGTCTTCATTTCGCCACAGTTCTCCACGTGTCCTCTCTTGAGAAATGGATAAGGACAAAGACAATTATCATCTTTATTTTGAATTTCAAAACTTCTGTCGAAGGAGAGCCACATACAGCCTCTGTCGAAGTTTCTATTCAAACTTAGAAAATATTTCTAAGTGTCTTTCCAGCATGTCCTCCTTATGAATACCTTTTCGACTAGGATTCTTGTACAGGCTCCTGTTGAATTCAACAACAACTCAAGAAACACTTGATTTTTATTTATTATTCTTAAACAAGTCTTGGCGTCGAAATTCCAAGCCAACAAATTCCCCCCCAGAAATTTCATTTTCGACTAAAAGGAGAAAAAGCCATTTTTTGAAGTTCACATTCGATGCCAGAAAACACTTAGTCTGCTATGACGTCATCATCATCATGACAACTTTTTCCAAACGTCTTCTCAAAAACCCAAGCGTGAATCTTTTTTAATCATCACACATCTAGTCCCTATGAGATCGTGGGTCAGATTAACAACTATCTTCTCATCACACAATCCCTGCATGACGCACATCCCACAATTCCTTCCACCATTAATGTGTACAGTAAACCTCTTCCACTTCATCCACCTATAAATAGTAAAAAATACCATTTTTAAAATCTTTTTCACTCTCTGAACCTCTTTAAGCAAACTTTTATCTCTTCAACTCTTGTAAAAACCCTTTTTCAAGTCTACTTCATCAATGGCATCTTCAACTAAGACTTCCAAAGATTTAGGAAAAAACACTAAAGAGCCCAAGAAATCCACAGAGCTTGCTCCAGTTCACAAATTTTATGGCCCATCAGTGGTAGGTAAGCAACAATACACTCCTGAACCACCTCGTGAAGAAGAGAAGCGCATAATCTACCAATCCCAGGTACTCATTCCCGTCTCTGTCTCTGAATTCTAGTTGATTGTAGATAGATTTTGACTGGTAACACTGCATCATAACTATATGTTAGTCGAAAAGGTGTAGTGTTCGTAGCATCTTTAGGAGAGGTTTGACATGCCCATAAAATATGGTCTAATGCCTTATGCCAATGCTTCTTAATTAAGCCAATCACTACATTATTCTCTACTTCGACTTGGCCATTAGCCTGAGCATAATATGGTGTGGATGTCAATAGTTTGAATCCCATTTCTTTAGCGAATTCATGAATCTTTTGACCAGTAAAAAATGATCCTTGATCGGTTGTAATAATTTTTGGGATTCCAAACCTATAAATGATATATTTTTGGATGAACTCGATCACTGCATCTTGGTAAACATTTACCAATGGTATAGCCTCAATCCACTTAGTGAAATAGTCTATTCCCACTAGAATGTATTTTTGACTCTTGGATAATGCTGGTCGAATCTCTCCAACTAAGTCCAAAGCCCACCCTCTGAAGGGTCAATGCTTCACTATAGAATCTAATCCCTTTGCAGGAACATGTTGAATGCCTACATGTATTTGGCACTCTTGAAATTCTTTGGCGAATTCGATACAATCTTTAAGCATGGTGGGCCGATACATCCCTTGTCGATATAGAAACCATTTCATTTTATGGCCCACATGATGGACATTAAAAAGAGCCTAGTATGCCTCATACTCACTAAGGAATTTGAGTAAGACACCTCTAGGTGTCTTTTTGAATATTCTGTTTCCCATCAGAACATAACTTAAAGCGCAATATTTGACAAACTATCTATAGCCAATATCTCAAAGCTTTTTTCGTCAGCATATCTTAACTTCATTGTTTCCAAGTTCGTTGGGGATAATCTAGTAGATGCAACTCTTCCTCTGACTTCGATTGTATCTTGTAATTTTCTTTCAAAATTTTGTATCGAGAAGCAATCTGGATTCTCAAGAGGCCAAGTCATTGGCCTCTTGATTCTCAAGTCGAGGTATGTGTCGAATACTTACTGCTTCGAACCTTCGTAACAACTTGATCACAAAGTACATGATAAGATTTTCCTTGACACATTTATACTCCTTTGTAATTTTCTTTATAGACAACTCTGAGTCACCCATTATTTTAACTCAAATAGCCCCCAATTTCAACAAGATTTCAAGTTCAACAATCGAAGCTTCGTACTCAGCTTCATTGTTTGAACAAAGGCCTTAGACCTGTACTTGAATTTTTGTTGGAATTTTGTTAGGAGAAATAATCAATAGTCCCACACCCGTTCTATCCTTATGATTAGAACCATCGAAGTACAACTTCAAAAGGTTCAATCTCTACATAGTTTTAGGAGTCTTCGACTATATAGTGGTCGACTATAAAGTCTGCCACCACTTGTCCATTAACAACCTTTAGAGGCATATAAGTTAAGGAATATTCAGTTAAGGCTAGTGTCCATTCATCCTTTATATAATGCATTAATTTTGTACATGAGTAGTATAGACATAAACATAATTTTTCGACTATACTATATCTAGTTTCTGCGTCATTCAAGACGCTATTAAGGTAGTAAATGGCTCTTTCAATGCCATTTTCATCCTCTTGAGCCAACATGCTCCCTAAAGTCATATCAGATGCAAATATGTAAAATCTCATACTCCTATCTCGAAAAGGAGGCGCCAGAATTGGAAGGTGAGCAAGGTAGTTTTTAATCTTGTCGAAAGCCTCTTGTTATGGTTGCCCCCATTCAAATCCTTCTTGCTTGAGTCGAAGTAGAGGTGAGAAGACTTGAGTCTCGCCGTTTAAGTGGGAGATGAACCTCCTCAAGAATTTTATTTTTCCTAGAAAGATTGAAATTCTTTCTTCATCGAAGGCGCTTTCTCCTCCATGATTGCCTTGGTCTTGTTCTAGTTAATTTCGATTCCTTTCGTATGGGCCATAAAGCCTAGAAAATCCCCGCCTATATACAGAAAGCACACTTAAGAGGATTCATAT